CCCTATAAATGAGATTAAATGCATGGCAGTCAGTTCTTAAATAGCCTGCAAAAGTACAGGGCAGTTAATACTAGACATTGAAACCGTCTGCGTTTTCAGTCTATTGGTTGCAAAACACTTCAGCTGAAATTCTGTTCATCTAAGTTGGCTGGCTCATAAATAATAGTTTTGTTGGTGCTGACAGTTAAAAGGGGTGACAAGCACTAAGTGGCATCCTGGTATAAACTTTCAACTTGTAATAACAGCATACCATAATTATAGCAAAAGTAGTTAAAAAAAAAATATATAACTGACTTTAAACATTATAAAAACTAATTGTTAGAAGACTGACAATGATATACTATGAATAAAAGAAAAAATACAGTTGCAAGCATTTTTCCTGAATGTTACTTTGACTGTTGTCAGAACCCTTTCAACTTCAACAAACTGGAGGGGAAAAAAATTAAAATTCCAGGAGAACCAGCTGCCAACTTGTGATTAGTTTAATACTTTTCCCACTTCAGGATGGCATGATGTTAACTGCCTTGGAAAAGTGTTTGTTCTCTTTTATAGTACTGTACAGGGTTCTGAACCATGATAAATATACATGATTTTCCTTTAAATGTGTAATGTCAGAAACAGGTGATTTGTTTCATTTTAGAGAACTGTGATTTTTTCAAAGCCTTCTCATAGTATTGAATACTTGGAACAAAACTGATTGCATGTGATGGGTGGGTACCTGTTGTATGTTTTGCTTAGTTTAAAGACTTATTTATTTTTTTTAAACCTCCTTGAATTCTTCGTGTTTCCAAACCTTTCACTTACAGCTTTTAGACAAATGGCAGAACAGAACCAGAGTCATTTGGAACCTGTAATATCCCCATTTATCCCAGAAATGCGGGGTGGGGTTTTTTTTTATATACTTTTTTCTTGCTTTCAAAGTATCTTAGTAATGCAGTAGTACGGTAATTCAAAGAGAAACTATGTTTTTAATAAATTTGATTTTTACAGAGCTGTTTAGATGTAACATTATAATCAAAGCATTCTACAAAAATCCTCCAATATTTTATTCACACTATATATGTGTGTGTGTATTTTAACATACAGTCTGACAGTGAGCAAAAGTTTTTTGATATTTACTCCTCCTTTTTTGGTCATTTATTTAAATGCTTCTCAGATAGACTCAGAGTCCCCAGGAATTTCAAGCTGGATAAACTTTGAGCTCAAGTTGCTTTTCTCAGTTTATCTGTTACACAATTATTTTGCATCCTCTAAATGATGGGATCTTGTGATCCATGCGCTGGCGCTCCCTTGGGTCCCCAGCAGAGTGCAAAGCGACGTCTCTGGTATTTAAACACGGTGAAGTGAGGTCTCTTAGATGCTTACTGTCTCACTCCTGTGAGACTCGACAATTACTTTGTTGAGTCAGTCCAATGCAGCAATTCCAAATGTCATTTAATAACGATCCAACTATTTAGATGGAAGTCAGCTTCATACAACATGAACGTCAAACGTTTATACAGTTCAGCCACAGCTCTTTCAGTATAAACAAACTTCACCTGTTATGGAGTAACGCTTCCCTCTCTACGTGTCTATATTTAACCACGTGTAGGCACATTCTCCTATGGTTAACACTGGCTTGGAGATTTGCCAGTTGTCTCAGGTTTTCCCAATAGGCCATTTTACGTGGTGCTTGCTCCCTTGTATGAAGGGAAACACCGTGAGAAAAGAAGGGAGAAAGCATATAATTTAGCTTTTATTCTTATATATTTTGCAGAAGATCATTATAGATGATTTTTCAAGCAAACCTAGGTAACTGACTTAAGAGTTTATTTCTTTCAGTATTATTCAAATGCAAACAGTTTTTGTAATAGCTTTTTACTTATTGATGCATTTTATGTGGAAGTGTGCACCATGCCAACTCCTAAGTGCGATACTGGGTTCACCTGCTTTATGGAGCATATACATTTCCCAGGAGATCAAAACAATAGCTGGTGCAGAGCTTGCAGGCTCTGGCTAGATGTATACAGATGAAGAGATCAGCAACCACTCCATGGCTAGGATCTGCAGAAAACAGGTAAAATAATTTACCTCTTTTCCCAGCTTACCGCTGTCTCCTCAAAATTTACATCTTTTAAGATACCTTTAGCTTTAGACAGTGAAAGGAATTTAGGACTGAAAATAGTCTGTTTAGGGCATTCTTTCTTATCTCTCCCTCCGCAGTGTTTTTCTTTGAAGTGATGTAAATTCTATTCAGTGATTTCCTATTACTTTGTTCTCCTGTCACCTACAGATTACCTCTGTGCCCACTCTTCCTCCCTCCCTGCATGGGGAGAGCCCATTTCCCTGTGCCTGCCTGAGGTCTCTTAACAGTTACTTGACAAAAGCCAGTTACTCTGTGCTGCCAGGCCTGTTTCCTCCCCCTCCTGCCCGACAGCCCCTCTGGCTTGCCACAGATGCCAGCCAAGAAGAAATTATCTGTGTTTGGATGTCAGGAAGGCAGCAGATAGATAAATTCACATGAGTTCTTAGTGTCTGACTCTATATGGCAGTTTAGCAAATTTACCTTTCAGAGGAGTGAGGTGTTGCACAAATGTTTAATGTTTACTTTTATATGGGGTGATTTTTTTTTTTTTTTTTCCTGTGAGGTGAAGGGCAGGCTTGCATGATGGCCATGGTATAAGCCAATCCAAATGCACTCTGCTCACGTTTCTAGCTCTTAGCCTGGCTTTAAACTTGGGTCGAAAGCATTCATGCTATGCTTGGAGATGGAGTTCAGGGTTTTTGCTGATGTACTGGGCTTCCCAGCCTGTCAGCAGGAGCTTGGACCTATGCTTACATGCTGCGTGGGTGCTTGAGCCCCTTCCCATCCCCTGGTAAGTGCTCTAATCATGGCCGCCTCTGTGACTGGGCACGTTCCTGTGTATAAGCGGAGTGGGGAGCGCAGTGAGGTGAACTGAGAAAAAGCTTATCCTCATGCTTAACTGCCAGTGTTGATGTTACTGAACTGACCAGCTTGACTCTAGAGAACAGCTTTTGGCTTCGTTCCCCACTGAGCAATAAGATTTCTCCTCCATCTCTGAATTGGACAAACTGGCTTTAAAATGGATGGTCTTTTATGCTCTTTTATTTCTGCATGAATCCAGGGAAATGCAGCTGCTCTGGTTTCAATCCCTGTCAGCCACAGAAAAATGTCAAATCTGACAAGTTCTTAGCATTTAAATCCACATCAGCATTGCTATCAAGCAGTAAGAACAAATGTATTTTTAGATACTTCTCTCAAGTCTGACGTTGATGTGTCCTATCGGTTCATTGTCAGATTAGCCCTTTGATTTATGTGGAATAATTTCCACGTAACTTGCTTGGTGACCTTTTAGAGGAAAGGTAAAACAGGCAATAACCTGAGGAAATGCCCGGTCAGCTTTTTGGAGACTTGTGTTCGGTGCTGCATCATGGTCACAACCTGTGCTGTTTAGAGCAAAATAATATAGCGACTTACCACACTGGTGACGCACCACATCGGGGGCGTAAGTCAGGACCTTGCCTGAAAACACTGCGAAAGGCGCATAGCCCGGGCACACGCTCGCTTTTGTTGCGAGGCTGGCGAAAGGGCTGGGATTTGCTGTTGCCGCTCGGGAGGTGCGCGGGCTGCGGTGGGCCTTCTCATCTCCTCCCGTTTCTAAACGGCAAAAAAGTGACACACGGACAACCTTGGTACTGAGGAGAGCTGCACTGGTGTGGTTCTGCAAGGCAGCTCGCTTTAAGGAAACAAGCCAGCTGAAGCACCTGCTTTGCTGCTCTTACTGGCCCTTGTTACTTTTAAAATCTTGGTGACTTTTAGCTGTGTGGTAGGAGTGAATACACAGTGTCCAGGAAGGCTCAGAAGTTTGAATCTGAGCCTCTGGCACACAATCTACTTTTTTTGAAGCAGAAAATGCAGGAACCTCCGCTTAAAAATCGGATTTGACACAAAAACCCTGCAAGAGCATGGCTAGGATTATATATTGAGAGATGAATTCATTTAACCTGAGGGCAGCAGGAGAGGATTAGATATTTTTAATTCCTTCCCTTTCCCTAATGACTGTACAGAGTGCTGACACTTGGAGAAGATGACCTGTACGCTGAAGTGATTAGCATGTGCAGTGAATTTTTTAACACCTCTTACTGAAAACAAAATGCTGGCTCACAAAACAAAGCACATTTTTCATGGGGCATAATAGCAGTCTTACGAAATCAGGAGCATTATCACTGAAGTGGGGCATGCAGCTTATGAATTGGTCTCGCAGATCATGAAATTTGGGACCTATCTTGTCGAGGCAGCTGGGTGATGATTTTCAGTGCTCTCGCAAGTAAGATCATTTAACAACGTGGAAAATGTATGTCAGTAGGAATTGCTGTGGTTTAGCATTTCAGAATAGCTAGATACTTCGCTGCTGAACTTGGGATGATAACTTTAGCTACCTAATTTTTAAAACATACTTGTCAGTTCAGTTTTTCCTGGGAATTCTTACATGATAGATAAATGAATGTACAGATGAGTCAAAAAATTGCTGTAAATTAGTAGGTGTTTATTTCTTAAAGGCCAATGTGATTTGGTATGTTTCCAAATTAAATGTGCAATTGTGCTTTTAAACACAGGACATTTTTTTCATTAAAAAGATAAGGCCTGAATAGAGATCCTCTCTTGGGCTCAGTCTGGTGCCTTAATGAGGATATTACCTGTACAAACAGCTGCAATTAAAGTTTGCTCTCTTATTGTTCATAATTTATTTGAATTTAAAATCAGTAAGGAAAGAAATTTTGTTTCATTTATTTGGGTATTTGATCCAGAATTACGCACTTGAGGGATAGATTATACAGGTGACCCATAGGTGGGATATGTTTGAAGCATTTTCAGTTTTTTTTAAACTATAGGCTTATTGAAAATCTGCTATTTTCTTTCAGTTATTCCAGTGTAATTTGACCTGTATCTCTCTATGACTGTAGTCACATGACTGTGAAAACTGTTACCTTTTTTAAGCTAACTGTACTTTGATTTTGGTATTAAAGTATGCCATCAGCTTTGTTGTTTTCTTCATCACACCAACAGAATGGGAATGTGCCACAGCATGGCTGCAGCCATGGCTTCCATATATTATTGTAAGGAGACAGCTGTTGTGGGACTGGAGTCAGCGTCTTGCGATGCTCTTCTACAGCTTTTCCTATTCTCTTCGTTACAGTGTCGAACAAGGGCTCAGTATCAGCTGATAGAGGATCTGCCTCGGAAGGATCTTGCGAGAGATCAAACAGCAGCGGAGGGTCATGATGGGTTACACCATCCCCAAAACATGGGCAAATTCCTCTTCCAAAACAGGCCCCAGAGGCTTCTGGCTGGAATACTGGAGTAGCGTAATGAGCTTTCCATGTGGTGCCGCCTGCCACAGAAGAAGCACATTTGAACAGCTTAATGGCATCAGGAGTCAGGGGACGTCCCTGAAAGATTGGTTCATGTTTTACGTGACCTGCTTTGTCGTTCCTAGGGCAGGCTTATGTCGTGGTTGTCACATATGGGGAAAGGCTCTTTTGGGAGCTGGCAGGGATTCAGAATGTTTTCGTGGCTCATAGGCCCACCTGGGCTCTGGGTACATCCAGGGCCGTATACACTATGTGGATGGTTAGGTCTAATATTTTGGGTGCAGAGGGAGTCTCTGCCACTTTCTTGCATCCCTTTAAAACTCTACATGCCTCTTGGGGGGGAAAACAAGGAAGGTAGCCCCCAGTTTCTGGGTGGAGGTACTGGTAGGTGGTTCTTCTGTTGGCTCTGTACATCTGAGCCAAGAAGAGGACCTGGGCAGAAACTGATCACAGCCCATTTCCATGCTCACTTTCCAGCACGCTTTCAAATAGGGTGGTAATTGCAGGCCATGAAAACAGTAAAATCTGGAGTCTAGTTTTTAAGTTAACATGATGAAGGCAACTAGTTTGCAGCTTTAGAGCTTGTACTTTATCAAGATCTGGTACTGACTGCTGGGTAAGTGCAGGTCTGTAACTTTTAATGAAGAAATGATAAATGACTGGGACTAAATCTGAATGCAGTTCAACAGATTTTCCTTCTCTCTCCCTCCTCCTTTCTCCCCTATCCCTCACCCCACGTTTAGAAAGCACTACACTGAACTGGGAGGCAAGGATTGTGCCCAACAGGAAGAGAGCAATTAGATAGTATGAAAAAGGGAGAGAAGAAGAAAGGGGACATTCAACACTTGGAGCCACTTCTGCAATGCATTGAGCTGACAACTGCATTGTCCCTATATGGCATTTTCTTTTTGGTTCAATGGAATCAGCTGAACTTTCTTCCTTCTGTTGTCCCTGGAGCTGTTCTTCGTCACTGGGAGTCTGCAGTTTTATTTTTCTGTCTCTGTCGTGTCACTACTGCTAGAACATATTTTGTTAATAAATAAAATTTTAAAACCTCTTAAAAGGTGAGGGAGAACAAGTAACAGATATTAAGGCTCAGATAATCTTTTAGCTTAAAATCTCCAGTTGCTGGCTGGCTATGTATCTATCTATTTCCACCCCACAGTTTCCATGTCCTGCTAAGCTACACTTCTGCACTTCTGTGGAGGGATGATGTCTCAATGGTTCTTAAATGTTTTGGCATTATACATCTAGAAATGTTACAGATTTTAGATATCTCCATTTCTGAAATAGTGAGAGCAAGGATGCAGAAGGTGGATTTCTTAAAGGAAATGGGCCCATTTCCCGATGGCTTACGAAGGACAGGTATTCCTTAGCTCTGGTTGCGTGTGTGCTATGCTGCTGGCTGGGATGTGCTCCAGGTCCTTCTACTTTTCCCTGTCTTGTGACTAAAAGAGCATTTGTCTCATGACAAAAACGCAAGCATCCTCTGTCACGTCAGGGTTCCCCGAGCATGGGATCTGGGTCTTACGTCTGTTGGTCAGGTAGCATAGATACTTGTTAGAAGGAGTGAAATAAGTGCTCTCATGGCCATACGCATTTTTCTGATCAGCTGGCTCTAGTCAGAGTGCTATTGTGATATTGCTAAAATGACCATTTAATAGATAAATATGAGATGGACAGGTAGACTTCTCTAGCTATAGGTAGGAATTTATGTATGTGATCAGTTTTCAGAAAAAACAAAGTAGTCACTCTTTTCCATAAATAGTTGAGCTGAACTCCCCCTAACTTATACACTATAGGGCAGTTCAGAGAAGTGAGCGTAGAGTGAGGAGAATTGTTCTGATTCTGCAAAATTTTAACATCCACTTTTCACAGCTGCAAATAATTACTGGAGTTGCAGAGTGGGAGAGAGCCAGGTCCTTTTTAGTTCATTCAGAAGGATACAGTGAGGCTGATTGTAATTAACCTGTCTTGGTGAGCTGAGTAGACAGCTGGGTTACAGAGGGATCCAAAAAAAAAAAAAAAAAAAAGGTGGTAGAAATCAGTGCTGATGGAAGCAGCAGGGGTTTCAGTCATCTCCAAGAGGCAAAGAGGGATATGGAATTTGCTACTGAAGTAGCTCTGACAGAATGTGAAGGATGCGTGTGAATTTTAGAGCAACATGTTAATATAATATATCCAAGGGAAAGGAAACCTGCTTCTTCAATCCAAACATCTCTCAAACCCATCTGGTAACAATCAATCAGTTTAACGAGCAGAAATAAACGGACTGTCACTAATAAGCCTTATTGTGCTGTGGTAGAGGAAAGGACTGTCTAACATAGAGACAAAGGCTTCTTCTGGCTTCAGTGAAGGGCTTAATTGATGGGTCCTGCCTGGGTGACATCAAGACACAATGGCTTCATTTCTAGCCTGTCCAACAGATAGAAGTAAACAGACAATAAGTATGTAACACGAATGTGATATACTTGTAAATGAGCTAAAACAGACTCTAAAAAGTCTGTAATGGCAGTTGGAGCAAAGAATCAGAATTTCTGGCTTGGCTGAAAGTTGAGCCCCACAGTGATACTTGAGTAGCCAGTCTTTCAAATGCAGAACATTGCATTGTTTTCAACCCCCTTGCCATGAGTGGCTGTGGCTCAATGGGGAATGGCATGCATAGGAGATCTAGCTGTGTGTGTGGCTTCATAGGAACACAAAATACAGCTTGCATCTGCGTATTTCATCTGTGTTTATGTTACAGGTAGGGTGGCCTATTAGAAATTGATCTGTAGAGCAGAACAGTTATTGATGGCTTGACATCCATGCTGTGTTTGTCTGGGGGCGTTTTGCTGGGGGCTAACTCTTCTCTGGTCCCAACTACACGTCGTCTTCTAGTGATTAGAGCATACTAGGTATGATCCCGTAGCCTATTTTACACTTTGATTTTATCTAAAGTCACGACCTTTAAGCCCATTCCACAACTCAACCCAAAGCACAATGAGTGGGTATGCTCAAGAGGGGTTTGCTTCAAAAGCACACTTCTGGTCTGAATGGAAATTGTAATGTAGCCACACCTTACGCAGCCTAGGAGAAGAGGTGAAAGCTAGGTGAGGAGAAGAGCAGTCCTTTAACCTGAAAAGCAATTCTTCAAACGCATCCCTTGATGGAGTATGTATTTGGCCTTTCACTAGGGAAGTGTGGCGTGACTCTTCTAGCAGGAATTTTCTCCAGGAGTCACTGCAGTCAGACAAAGCTCTCTCTGCCCAGAAACTTTCTCTGCCCAGAAAAAATATGTATTACAAAGAAATGAAGAGAGATTGCAAAGAAAAGCAATGGATTTAGAAGCATAGGAGATTTGAGTTTCTGACTGCTGTTTTGCTTTAGGTAATGCGAACAGCTGAATGGGCTCAGAGTTAGGTGTGATCAAGCCTGGAGCTACTGGCAGTTCTGGTGTGGGGCCGGCTTGGCACCAGCCTGTGTCAGGTGAACTGGTCTCTCACCTCTTGAGGGGCAGCTTTAAAAGCTGTGCTCTCATTGTCAGTCTCTAACTCCCTGGTCTGCTGAGTATTGGACACAAGGGGAGAGAGATTCCAAGCGGTGACTCTGGTGTTTCTGCCAGGCGTAGGCTGCTGCGGGCTCCATGCACAACAGCACAGGGCTCCCTGGGCACGGCCATGCTCCGCTGGTGTGTCTTGGCTCAAACCTCAGGCCTGGAGCTCAGAGTGGGGCTCAGGTGGGCACCAGCGGTGACAACGCTTTGGAAATGAAGCCCCTGCACAGGGCAGGGCCCGGCGAGGGCTCCTGGCGCCGTGAGCCCGGCTGGGCCCGAGGCTGCCCCCCACGCCTCCCGGGGGAGCCGGGGCAGCAGCCCTCAGCCCGCGGGGGCCTGGCCACGCTCCCTCTGCACGCCCACAGACGTGGGTGGCTTTGCATACAGGGCACCTCCGGATGTGAAAATGAAAAGCGGAGCAGCTAGCTGCGCCGAAGCGCCAGGGAGATTTAATTGTTTCATTTTTTACAGCCGCCCCGTCTCAAGCATTAATTCGCGTCTGATGGCGCCCTGCCGCCCCTCGAGCGCGGGCGCTGCTGCCGCCTGCGGGCAGGCTCTGCGCCCCAAAGCCGGGCCTCCCGCCTGCCCCCCGGTGCGAGGGGACGGCGAGGCCGGGGGGAGCGGTGTGTTCGGGGGGGTGGATGCTGCACAACACCACGCCTGCAGCGTTCCCCTGCCAGGCATTTCCCTCCATTGCTGGCCTAAGCGGTCAGCACTTACCAGGTAAGGAGCACTCCAGTCCCTTCTCCACTGTTTTTTCTGTATTTTAATCATGTCAATCTTGTTTCATAGCCATGGGGGTATCAGGTCAGCCAGACCCCCAGCTCAGGGGAAGCAGCAAGGCAGAGTGAGCTGCCGAGAGCAGGCCCACCTGCTTGCAGCTGCCCCGAGCACCGGCTCTTCAGCAGTGCTGCCCAACTGCGGCAGCCCGGTAGGGTTGTGAAGGCCTTACCACTCAGCTACAAGGCAGAACAGCAGCAGTGGCTGCTGTTTTTTGGGTTTTTTTGTTTGTTTGTTTGTTTTTTAAATAAACAATCCCTTTCCTAGTTCTTAGACAAAAATATTATCAGCATCTTCTCTCCAGAGAAAATAGAGAATGAGGATTCCCAAGAGGAAAAAAAAAAAAAAAAATCAAAACAAACCCAAAACCCAACCCTTCCCTGAAGGGCTTGAAGATGCTCCACTCCGTGGAAGAACCAGACTTATGAAACACCCTTGTACTTAGAATTTTCTACCATACAGCTGCTTGAGCAGCGTCTGGGTTAGTTTGGATCTCACCCTGAAGGTATTAGCTCCTCAAGTACTGTATGGCTTGTATAGCTTACACATTTTTCCTTTAATGGCGTATCCAGGTTTATCTTTGGGGATTAAGAACCTAAAAATAAAATTCCACCACAGCACCTGGCATCACATCCTCACATTTAGTCCTTAGTCCCTTTCCTCCATGTTTCCTGTCAGCCGAGCGCAGTGACTTCCTGCCCGGAGCCATGCTTCTGTCAAACGTGGTGTGACAAGGGCAGGGACCTCAAGGTTAAACTGGCAGCATGACTAAAACTTTGGTGTTGCAACTCTGGTATGTATTTATTCATGCCAACAAGACAGACAGCGAAGTTAGCCATTATCCTGATATTCTTGTGTGTGTATTTAGGGGAACAGAGAAGCCCTTTTTGAAATATTTGGAAGTACAAGTTTTGTAGTCTTCAGGTTTTCACTGAGCAAGTAGATTCTTGGCTTGATACTATCTATAATTGATACTGTCATTGTATCAGAAGATATCATACAGAAAATGTAAATAGGCATTAGAAAGATCGCCCAGTTAACACTGTGACTTAAGAAGGATTTCCTCCAGGAGTCCCTCCTGGGCTGCCTAAGGTTCTCTCATCCCACGGTCAGCACTCAAAGCGCTCTTCGAACAGCCAGCTCCTTGTCAACATACCAGCTGAATGTGAACAGCTGCTGATGGTGGAATGCCTCAGCATTTGTAACCATTATCTAATTGCAGTCTCTCAAGAACTCCGTAATTCCTCTCTCACTTCACAGATAAGGAAAGCAAAACAAAAATTAAAGGGGCTCATTCAAGTTTCTAAAGGATGGGAAGATGCATAGGCATAGCCTACTGCATTTCTCCAGCTGTGCAGAATGAAGGAGAAAAAAAAAAAAGAGAGAGTACAGCATCACCACAAATTAATCAACTTTACACTTGCTGTCACATCATCCAGTCACAGAAGGTGCAATTCATCCCAACTGGCTTTAATATGAGGGTGATTTTTATATCTGATATGGTCAGTCTCAGCTCCCTTGTTAGTCAGTGGAGAGAAACAGGCCTGACTGATCTAGCCCAGATGTGCTAATCAGAAGGAGGTGAATCACACCCTGTAAACATCTGCATCTCTTCAGTGACTATAGAACAACAAGCCCAGATCCAGGCACCTGTGTTTGGTCACACCGATGCCATCCTCCATTCTGAGCAGGAATAAGGACACAGCCACCAGTCACTGGTCCATTCTCTTTTACACTGTAATGGAGGGTGACATCAGCAAAGATCGGGTGCTTGTTGAAAGCTCAGGAAAGCATTACAGCTGCAGTCAGCTTGCCTAATGCCACAGCTGAAAAATGAAACAAATAAGATAGGGCTATTGAAAAAAACCAAACTACTGCTTAAGATAAAGACCTTAGGTGAGCAGTTCCTTTTTCTTCAACCTTACATTAAAGCTGATCCCAAATGCTTTTGCAGCAAAAGCGACAGAAACACTGCAACGACAGGGAGATTCTTGAAGCTATGCTACCCAGGAAGTGAAACTTCATCTCAGGCAAGGGAGGACAGCTAACAACGAAGCCATTCTGCACCTTGCAGAAGAAGCGAGCATTTGAGGTAATAAACTTACCCCAGATATATGTACATATGTTTTTACGTGATACTCTATTGGAAGCTAGGGGTCATTACATCATCTCTGATATGCAGGAGGGGTGTGTTTATACTCACTGTCCTTTTGGTGCCACCGCACTGCATGCAGAAACACACCGCAGTAGTGAAACATGAACTCATGCTCGGAGTGCTGAACTGTCCCCCGCAGCAAAGGCAGCAAGGTGCGCCCGTCAATTACCCTGATGGAGAGGACGGGAGTCACCAGACTGTTTAAGAATTTCAATCTGCAGCTGGAGCGTGAGCAGTAGTCACTCCCCATGTATGCAGCATTAGGATTTCAAGTGTAATTTCTAAACCAAGCTACTGCTTAGCTAATGAGCCCTGAGATTTTTAATTGTGTGGATGGGTGGAGACCAGTGATTAGCAGTTACTAGCATTTTTTGCAATTACAGCTAGTTCACACATCCTGCCTGAGGAGGTAAGTCACCATTACTGTAATTTCCCTGGGAGTTAGTGATAACCATAGTGAAGGCATGGTTCACAGCTTTTAATTTTGCTCCCTGAGATGGAAGTCACTGATAGCTCTGTGAGCTCAAGGCTTCATAAAAAAAAAATAAAAAATTGACTAACAGTTGGTTTAGTTACACCCTGCCAGTACTTTTATGCTTTTTGCTCAAATGTCTCAGCCACCCATGCTTTCTTGTGTTCTTTAGAGGAGTCTAACATAGATGCTACAAATTGTTTGCTATCGAGGAAGCTATTTCTCCAGTACTGGCAGCCAAATGCAGGCCATGTGCCATTCGCTCCACCTTCCCTACTCATGAAGAACCAGGCTTCCCAGTCTTGGAAAGGGCCTGTCCTAGTACTCTAACAGGACCAACCAGCTTTGTGAATATCCGCATCTGCAGACAGGATGGGGAAAGCTACACAGAAAGCAAGCTAGAGAATTGCCTGGTTAAGAAACAAACAGAATTTAACCTGTAGCTGTTAGGATGCATGACACATATAGTCAGCATCTATCTAAACCAAGAAAGGGGAGCAAATATGGTTTATGTAGCCACCTTTGTACCTGTCCTGAGGCACTGCCCCTCCAGCGAGGTGAACCACTGTTGGGAAAATGTCCATAAGGCTTGTCAGTTCATTGATAACTCTCCCTGCAGGCAACACTCCTGGCCATCTAACTATTCCTGGGACACGGATCCCTCCTTCCCAGCCTCCCATTCCTTTTCCACCTGTTAGAGGAGAGAAAAAAGTACCAAGAAAAGATAAAATAATGGAAGATATTAGACATTTATTATGGATATATAATAAAAGCTTTTAAAACTTTCAGAATATTAAAAATAACTTTAATGAAAACACACTAAATCCTGGAGAACACTAGAATGACTACAGTGCAAATTCCATTCTTCAAAAATAAGTATTATTAACCTCTCTATTTTACACTGCTTTCTTGGGTGGCACATATGGCAACTCAATACTAAGCAGTATTTTTGGCAGAAGAGGAACAATTCCACCCTTTGACACCTGGCAAGACGTTCTGACCAATAATCTTAATTGAATGTCATGTCTGAGAATAATCTCCACACTTCCTAATAATACACACAAGAAAAAAGTCTGTTATTAATAAAAAGCAAAATCTGACTTGGAGTCTATGAGAGGTTGCAGCCCCACTTGGTACCTGAGGAAGAAGGATTAACGCAGGGCAAGCTTGGTTGTCAGACAGTTCACAATCAAAGGCAGCAGGAACATTACAAAATGATTTGCAGTCCTGGAGAGCAGTGAGGGGAATTAGGATAACATGTGATTGCCCTCCAGGAGTTTACAGTCCCAGGGATGCTCTGAGGTGGTCGCAAATGAAAGAGAGTGGAACCTGTACAGCAAATAGGGGAGTACTCTGAATATGTTGCAGTGATGAAGACTTTCCACCTACATTTCTGTTGAAGTTGTCTTGAGGTAATCCAAAGAGTCTTTCTTAACTTGGTTTCTCTTGCATTCCTCTAGTTCCACCATGCAATTGGCTCTCTTGTAAGTCAAAATATTGCTTTGAATAGCATTTCAAAGTGAGAACCATTCATTAATTACAGATATGAATTACAGATGTCAAGGATGGGGATATTAATGAAACAATGTGGTTTAAAGCCAGAACTCCAAGTTGAGGGTCCAGTTAGGAAAAAAAAAATTGCAAAAAGCTCAGGTACCTATATGACCTTTGCTCTGTTATTCCTCCTATCAAGGGCAGAAATGACAAGTCATTGCTGGAAAGTGTTGTAGGAAAATTGGCAAACAAAACTTGAAATGGGCTTATTAGCTCAGGTGATAAATCAACAGCTGAATGGTCGTTTATACTAGCCTCCTGCTTTGCTAAGTAATGCCAGACTTTGCTATGGAGGAGGTGTGCGCATAGTTACAGCTGAGAGGCAAGGCTCCCAGAGCTTGGTTTTAAACGCTGACAAGGTGGCATGATGGTTTATAAACAGGGCAAGTCCAGCTGCTTGTGCAATAACCTTTGTGCTATGTAAGATAACGGTATCTCATGCTGTGTTATTTGCCAGTGGCTGTTCTCATTATTCATATGGATGGCTTATTTATCTTCTTGGTTTTAATATCCTGTTAGCAATATGAGCAGTGAGTTCTACAGATATTTATGAATTAAACTAAATTTTTTAATCTTTTTTGAGTCATTGCTAGTTAGTTTCACTGGGATGTCCTCTGTTCTGCTGTATGTGGACATAAATGGGAATGCCTTTCTGTTATTAATGTCTAAACTGATATTCTGTCTCCTCTTGTCTTCTCTCTAAGCAGGCATTTCATCATTGTCCTCTCGTACTAAAATCTCTGTCTAATCACATTCACCTTTCCTCTCCAGACTTCCCTGTTACAAATATACTTGTGTTAGGCTAGTAGACATGGACTCCCTAGGTTAGGTTCTGAGCTATTCAAGTGAGCCCACTGGCCTTTTTGCATCTGTTGCTGGTATGGAAACTTTGTATCCAGACCTGCAGGCTAATTTAGCATTTAGGACTGTTCCTGGATGAGATCCCAGGTGTATCAAACATGGCTTGTGTGGCTCATCAAGTAACTTACTACTAGACAATGTGCATTTTGATGCTGAGCAAGATCAAGGCACCCACATCTTCTTCTGTAGGAAAATAAGTGATGGGAGCAGTTTTCAGGCTTCATTATACAATAAGTTCCAAGCTGCCCAAGCTGTCACAGTGGCTTTTTGAGCTCGGCAGTCCAGAGGGAGCACATGCAAGAGATACCACAGATCTTCATTTCCACTGAGCTTTTGATACTGTGTTGCAAGCCAGTCACAAAAAGAGAGTCTAGATGAAACATCTGTATGATAGATGAGAAACTGGGAAAGTATAGCAAGAAAATAGTCATCATGATATCTGCCAGTGTTGACACAGATAATTGTCTAATGTGAAAAATAGAAAGATGTTTCAAGTGAGACTCCAAACAGTGTGTTCTGGATCTGCGTCAGGGGAGGTTCAGGTTGGACGTTAGGAAAAGGTTCTTCACTGAGAGGGTGGTCGGTCACTGGAACAGGCTCCCCAGGGGAAGTAGTCACAGCACCAAGCCTGTCAGAGTTCAAGGAGCATCTGGGCAACGCTCTTAGTCCTATGGTTTAGCTTTAGGTAGTCCTGCGAGGAACAGGGAGTTGGACTCGATGATCCTTATGGGTCCCTTCTAACTTGAGGAATTCTATGGTTCTATGATGCTAGAACATTTTCAAGTAGTGATTTGAGTTATGCATTAGGTAATAGGCTTACAATACTTAAAGACAACATGGAACTAGAAGGGGTACAAGCATACCGGGGTCTAAAGAAAGGATGAACAAGGCGGGACATAACAGCATTGAAATACATTACAACCTTGCAACAACAGGCTGTTGCAAGGAGGAAAGGAAGAGTCTCTTCTCTGTAGATTGGTGGATAGGGCAAGATCTGTTGCTTAAACTGCAGCAAGGAAATCCATGGTAGGTACCAGGAAAAAACATCCAGTAGCATAGACAATGGAAACTGGATTATCTGGGAAATCACTGAAGGTCTTTAAGAACAGGTTAGACAATATAGCTGTCAGGAGTAGCTTTGGTGAAAGTGATCCTGTCTGGGGGCTGAAAGATGAATAGCTGATGCCCTTAATTTACTCCAGCCCTACAATCCAAAATCATCATCCCAGTTTAGTAAATACAGTCTATCTAAATGTATTTTATCCTGTCATTTTCTTTTTAAGAGGAAGTCTCATGCATGTGCACAGTACCAAAACTTTACCTTTATAGATCCCATTCCATCCACCCAACTGAGCATTTCCTCTGTGAGCCTCCAAGAATCCTCCGTGATCAGATGCAAAATAAATGAATGTGGTATTCTTCAAGCCTTCTTTGTCAATAACATCCAGAAGCCTGCCTATAAACAAAGCAAAAAATCATAATTATGTCTGGAGATGCAGTCAGACTTTTTAGGCCTTGACTCAAAATTCAGTGAAGATCAAGTCTTTCCGTTTACCTGAATGAGTTCTGTTATGAGCTACCACAAGCAATGCAAAAAGACAATGCAAAAAGACAGACATAATAAGAGCCCAATGGAAAGCTGCTGAATGTGTCCAAAATTCGTTTGTGGTGTCTATAAAAACAGGAAAATTAAAAAAAAATTGGAAAATAGTTTAAATGAATGATCCTTTTATGCAAGCTACTCAGAATACTCTGTCCACTTTATGCTGTGAATTCTCTGAGTCAAGGATTGTCTCCATTGTGTAGCCTCAGGCATCTTGGAAAGCTTAAGTAATAGTGCTGCCTAGGTTCCTAATCATAGAAAACTGCTGTGTCTCACCAGGAACCGAACAGGAACCCTGAGATCAGGCTGCACACTGTCAACCAAAATCTTCTCCTGATGTCAGTGGGAAAACTCCACAGAGTGCAATTCAAACCTAAATTCGTAAGGAATGTTTTTGGTACTGATAGCATCAAATGTTTATACAGAATATGATTTATCTTTGATTGCTTATCCTCATTACCTATTGCATCAAACACATTCACCAAGAATAGCTTCCATAGCTACAGAAGCACCAGCAAAAGCTGAAGTATGCAAAGAAAAAGCATAAGCTAGTGATTGCCTCTTTTGCTCAATCTCTTAACCTTTACAGACTTCCTGTGTCTCCTTGGTCAAACTACTTATTGACCTTACCTAAAAATAGACACCTGCCCCCAAAAAGAGTTTAGATTGAGTCTAGGCATCTTGGTTCTGAATTAGACCCCAAATCTCTTTCTTAGCTGTCCAACCCTGGAAACTTCTGTCCTCACTGGCTGCCATCCTGTTTGGCCTATACAAGGCACGTTCCTTACACCATCAGACTTCTGCTATCCAGCTGTGCTTGCGTAGCTGTGCCTGAAGGTGACTGGTGCCAAAAATCTGCAAGATGAGCATGGCAGAGTCCTCTGATTCAACTGGATCTCACAGAAGTTCTCAGCCTGCCCATCAGAAGCAATGGGGCTCCCCTCAAAATATAATTTTGTAAACATGGTTATTGGAGGAAAAAAGGGTTCAGGGACTGAATCTTGGCCTAGACAGGAGATGAATACTTTGTCAATAGGGTCTTCACTTTTGGCTAAATACAAACAGGAGCTATCTCCCTCCCTCCCACTGAAGCAGAAGGCAACTACTAAGTAAGGCTTTGAACTAAGTGAGTCTTCACGATATACTGACTTCACACAATTTATTAAGTGAAACTCCGTAGCTTTTTAACTTGGCCTTTTGGCTAGGAAGGAGTTCTGGTTTCTGCTCCAATGATTATTCTTCAATAAAAACAAACAAGTACACAAACCAACCACCGTATAAAGTCATATTCAGCAGCAGCACCACTTATATCTTCTGAGACTAGACAGAGCTGGAGAAATGTCATACATTTTGATTAACCACATGATCAAGCACATATTTGATTATTTGACTGCATTTAACACTGCAGCACAGAAGGTGTCAATTAAAAAAATAAAAAGAACAAATCCTCACAAGAAAAGTTTAGGCTTTCACCTTAAGAAAAAAAGAGGTGTGGTAATGGAATGGCAATTGCTGGAGCTAACTGTGTATTCAAGACAAGTCCACTGATTTTTGTAATATGCACAAAGGGAGTTCTGTGACCACCCCTTTAATTTCTTTTCCACATATTGAAATAAATTAAGGATTTTCTTCAAGATGAGCACTTACCCACCATCCAGTCCATCTCCTCTACATTATCTCCGTATAGACCATGTCTGCTTCTTCCCCGAAACTTCTCTGTGGTAACGAGAGGGGTGTGGACATGTAAAAGGGAAACAAAGAGAAGAAACGGTCTATGCTTGTTTCTGAAATAAAAGAAAACAGTAGTCATTTCTCTGCAAACTGTCACTCAGCCCAAAATATAACAGTGACATGGTAGTGACTATCTCAATAAAAATTATTAGTGGGGTCTAAAATAATTTTTGGTTCTGTATTAAGACCAAAATAGTAATGGGTCCTTTCTTTTTCTGGTTCCAAACTAGGCATGCGTAGCACATTAAATAAATAACTAGGAAAGTTCACAGCCAAAAGACTGACACACTCTCAGAGGCAAGGAGAACAGGACTCGCTTGTGTAAAATTAACATGGATGTCACTGAGCATCTGAGACACCCTCACGGAAGAGGCAGATATGACACTGCACCTGCAGAGGAACCATATCCCTTTAACATCAGGCCAGGCAGGATGTCCTAGGAACCTGAGATTATCTATGCTCAAAGTTTTACAGAAGAGATTTATGTTACCCCCAATTTCCCTTAAAAAAACCCTGACAGAAATAGTATAATCTTATTCAGGATATGCCCAGACTTGACCCATGAATACTTTTAAAGTGGCTTGTTCAATGCCAGTTGAGGCTATTGATAGTATTGTAAATGAAGAACATCCTTGGAGAACAAAACAAAACTCACTGTCACCCTCCTGTTTGTAAAATATTAACTTCATATGACACTTTCTATGACAGTCCATTCATCAGGCTAAGATAATTTTTCCGTTCATACTAGCAGAAGGCCCAATCCTTGGCCAGGACCCCTTTGTATTAGGTGAACAAAACATAAACACAAAAAAATAATCTTCCTTTTCCTGAGGAGCTGACAAGCTATGCATAAGACAAAGGACAGCAGTTGGATGCTGACGGGTAGGGCGATGCCAGAAAACAACAAATTACTGGCCAGCATCAGGATGGGTAGGTCAGCATGCCAGCTGCCTAACCTAGTGCTGTATGACACAATGCTCACATTGTTTTTAAAAACCCTTAAAATGTGGTACAGCTTCTGTTGGTTACCTTTCAATGAATGAAACTGCCTCCTTCAGCATATTAGAAGTAGTTTTTTCTAGGTTCATCGGTTGTTCAGTGATATCATGGTTTCTCATCAGGATACAGTTCCAGTACTTGGTGAAACCATAGCTGGAGTACCAAGAGATGAAATACAGGAGACCACAGATGGCCAGACATATGATTATTTTCCATTTTACTGAGAATAAGTTGGCAAGTTTTCCAATCAAAAGAGTAAGCACTGCAAGGATGATCATCTGTGTGTAAAGCCAATATGTATCTTGCAAAGACTTGGCCAGTTCGGGGTCATTTGTGCCTTGACACTCATTCAAAAGGGTAAAAGGCATGCCGTAAAAATAATCAAAGCCATGATTTAAAGGATGGTGGCAGTGATCACGGTGGGATTTGCAGTTCACACCCATATGCCACTTCCCTGAAAATATAAAACAAAGATCTTAAATCCGACATCATTACTCTTGGGAGTGTCTACTTGTATTTCTGATATCTAATTTCTAATTTCTTAACTCCTCAGTTAAAGTGCAGCCAAGGGAGGAGCTGGTGTGGAACGGGGACAGACTCTCAGGGAGCAGTTGTGAGTTGGCACTTTATCTGCCTAAAACAGCTGGTTTTCCTCACCTATCTGTTAAAATTCCATGTAGGGCTTATTATTTTTCACATGATAAAGTAGCCATTCGTTAATGGGTAGCCTGATGGGGAGAAACTGGAGAAACCCTTGTGCCAAAAGAAACAGCTAAGTGCAAAAATATGAACTAATTTACACACAAGTTCCATGTGACCTTCACAGTCCAAGAACAAATTTCAGGAAGAAGGTGTACATATTGGCTCTATGTGTCTATATTCATCCTAAAGTGAGTAGCAAAAATAGGCCATTTCAATTACCCAGTACAATTGGACGTGAGAGAATATCATACGCTGATAATGAACCTTAATGAAGTCATATTACAGAGCAGTGTAATTATCCTGACATTGAAGGACAAACAGTCTATAACCACGGACTTAGGGGCTATTAGCTAGACAAATAACTTCTGAGAACTGCTGACCAGCTCTGTGCTCATGTATATGAATGTTGTTTACTGTATAAGCTATAGCAGACTGCAGTGAGCTAGGGAAAGTTCACCCCTTTGCACAGGCATGTGTGAAGTCAGTACATCGCTAAGACTCACTTCAACTTAGGAACTAAATGACACCTCGGTGCGCTGGAGCCGAGCAGAGGTGTGAAAATCTGTGATTACAATTAAGCACATGACACCTTTGACTACATCAAAAAGAGTTGAAGAGTTTAAAAATGAGAGATGCTTGAAAGACACAGCCTTTAATTGCTGTTCAGGCAAAATTAGCAAAGAGTTAATAGGATTTTCTTTTTTGGATGTGTATTCTGATCCAAAACCCACTGAAGTCAATAGGACTCTTTCACCTTTTTAGTAGAGTTTCTTTTTGCAGAAAATAAGGTACTTCTAGAGTCTTAACTGTAATAATAAGCAGGATCCATAAATAACAAAAATCTAGCCATCAGATATAATTAAGACCACTGTGGTGCCTTAGTACTGACTGGCAGACAACATTTTTCTGCTCGAATAAATCAGTGAATATCTCTATTGGTTCTTCCTAAAGCAATCTGTGCTGGGCAAAAAAGATTCTTTCCTTTGCATTTACTTCTGTTTGCAGTCTACATCTATGTATTCCATACATCCTCATTTTGGATTTATCAGATACGCTGTGCTGACATAGGGGCTTGTGGATGGCATTCTCTAAACCCTGCTGATTTTGAAACTTATGCATACAAGAAACTCTGGTTTAACTGATCCTAGACATTTTGGCAAAGAAAAATATTTACAGAAGCAGCCTCATTTGAATAACAAGCAATGAAAAGGTGGCAAGTTGCTATGTCTCATACCTATAAGTGCTGTAGAATAACCTTGCTGGTGCAGTATTCTGGCAAAAGTAGTTTCATTTGGTGGGAGCCCACCAGAACACCCATTCCAAAAGAGAACCTGCCGCTGAGTGCCTGATGCCATGCCTAGAGAGGAATGAGAGTCTTTAAAATAAAACAAGCCATATTTCAGATTTTCAGTCTTCTCAGATTGTTCTTTCTAATGAATGAGACTCAGTTGCCTAAGCCTAGTGCCTTTTTATAAGCCATTTAGTATGCCCTGGCATATTCTGATTGACGCCCTAGAATAACGTCTCTTCCAAGTCCCATGTCATTATCTGCTATTCCAATGCAGATGCCTCAGCTATGCTGGGTGTCTACAAATGGCACTAAGGTGCCTATGTTTGGACATTAGGCAACATCTTACAACAAAACTTCTATCAAAATATAATGTTAAAAAAAGAAAAGGGGGGGGAGAAAATAAGTTTTATATAGAACAAAAGGCTTACAGAGTCAGGGGTACACACTTCTGAAATGTACAGTTCATGATTACATTTCTCCTTCAGCAAGTCAGAACCACATCAGAGGAGCTACACTGATTATTACTGCCATATGCAGTGGCCTAAGTTTTCTGTCGTGAATTTACGTGGCTGAAGTAAATCTGTTTTAAAATGTTACTGTTGAGAACTATTCCACAGTCTGACACATTTCACTATGAAAAAGATTACCAGGATATTCAAAATATTACACTTAATATAATCTTAATACCACTGAAGATACAGCATTTGCACAATTTTCTTCTTCATGTTTCTACGTCTGGGTGGTTTGTGCTGTTTGGATCCATTTCTGTGTTATCATTTAGCCACATTAAATGTGCTTTATGTGGGGATTTTCCCATAGAAATCAATTGCTAAATCCAGTTGTCTTTATTTTTGCCCATCTCGCTGAGACCCCAAATCCTTAGATTAACTCGTCTTTGAAATGGTTTATTTAAGGAGATTTTTAATAGCAATAATGGCTAGACAGACTGCAGTGAACCGTTAGAGAGAGGCCCAACCTGATCTGATGGGGTATCTGCCAGTCAGGAAAGCTGCTCTGCTTGGAGTACAGACAGCAGCTGCAGCAATGTGCTGAGTAAGTCTCACTCCTTCCTTTGCCAGGCCATCAATGTTAGGGGTCCTAAACATAAAAATACCATCTCTGATAAAAACATATTACACAGAAGTTCATGGTATCCTGCTCCTCCTAGTTTTGTTGAGGACATCACCGTCAAATTTATAAAACTCTCTGTTTACCTACAACTCAACTAGGAAAGCTCTGTGTTATATATTTTTTTGGATACCTTGACTCCTTAGAAATGAATTTTCCATGATAAATTTGGTTTTATTAATAACTAAAAAGAAAAAAAATATAGAAAAGGTATTTCAGGTCTATCCCATATCAAAACCTCACGCAGCATAGTGAAAAAGATTCCACTAATAGATACAGGACAACACAATTTCCAGGACTATAATAGGCTAGAGTAAACACAGGATATATATACAATCATTAGTTATTAGCTGATATTAAATCCTAATCTCGGTCCTTGACATTTCAACCCTGGAGTTGTGGAAACTTATAAATTATACACATGCCTGACAATTACAATGCATGGACACATTTGTAAAATTCTGACTGTATATACTGAAAATTAGAAGTCCAATAAAGTTGCTCAAGCATGCCTGTATAATTATTACTCAGTAGGAATTACTGTAGAACGTTTATTTTGTACATGGTTTGAAAAGAAGTGTATCTAGATAAAACAACGCATTAATAATCAATTTTCTAGTACTGTTACCAGTGGTTTTTTCCACTGAAATTCACCAGGAAGGGATAATTTATTTCACAGAATACATTCTTACCTTATTGTATCATTGCCATAGCAACCCACATCTCCAACACCAAGATCATCAGCCAATATCAGTAAAAAATTGGGTTTTGAAGGATTTGATACACAGGTTCTTGGAAAGAAGCATAAAATTAGCCAAACGTTTAGGCAGCTCCTGAAATTAAAAGTAATACGGTAATATTATAAAAACACTTGTAAGCTTTACAACAGACTTTAAACTATCATTCTTAAAGTTCTATGAGGCCTCAGTATAGATGCAAACAGCTACCAAATACTGCCAGCAGATGGAGCTCCTGAATATTTACAAAAGTTCTTGAGTTTTCTAGAACCAGTAATATTTTTTTTAATTCACACAGGAATTTTGTGTGTGCATTTCTTGATTGAGATTTGCATTGATCTCAGCAGATGTTTACAGTAGGATGAGTGGTTGGATGCTTGCAAGCCTCCCGAGGCAGCCCTTGTGCAGGGGTGTAGGACACTCCTGTTAAGGCTCCTGGAATGAGTGGGACAGGAGCATGGAGGAGGTTGGTGTGGAGCCACGCTGGTTATGATTGCAATGCCTTGACTATTGCATCCACTGCACCCAGTGCTACACACTGCATCTGGAAAGTGCTCCTTCAAGGTTGCAGCAATGGGCTTAACTTCCTACAAGACCCTAAGAATATCTCAGCACATCTTAGTTGCTCAAGGTGTTTGCAAGAGGCACCTTACAGATGTTCACCTGAAGTAAAATACATATGCTAGAACATATCTCCTGACTGCTAGTTCATTAATAGATACTGCAATATGATAAATGCATAGTAAATGTACTACACCATATATTATATACACTCCTAAACCTCCATGTCCTATAGAAGTAGGATGAAAGGCCTTGAAAGACCAATAGTTCTAAACCTGTATTAACTGCTTTCAGATTCAAAACGAGTTTCTAAAATAAATATATAAATAAATGAGAGAACTGTTTAAATTTTCTTAAGCACAACATATAAAAACCAGAAAAGACCCTCAGTGAAAGTCTTTTCTTACCATTGTTTTCCCTGGTAAACTTCATCACTTCCCCATCTATGAAACAGGTACATAGTTGGTTAGAAATTCTGGTAGAAAAAGAAAAAAATAACAAAAAAAAAAATCAGAGCCCTGTAGCTCTGGTGATCTTGTCTGTGAGGTTGGTCATTAACTGCCCTGCATTGCCACAATCATACTGGCACTGCCTGAGGCTGGCTACAACAGAGGTGGACTGAACTACTAGGGCTTGATTACGCAGGCCCCACATTCCTGAACGTGTGCTTGCAGAACCCTGTTGAACTGACACCACAAGGCAGAAGGGGCACTTCTGAGGCCAGGTAAGGTCGGATAGCACAGCATGCAGTTTTGCAAGATCTGTCCTGTTCCCAGCTGCCAATAACTTCAGGGTTAAGTTCACTGAGAGTAACATCTTCACCATTTTACAAACAGGAGGTAATGATAAGTAAAACTAGTATCTCACTCTTTACGTAACCTCAAATTATCTTTAAGTTCCAGGAAAATAATCTAATCCTTACTGTGAGTTTTGAAATGACAAAAAATGCCTCAAAGAAAAGCCATCCTGGAAAGTGATATTGCAGTGTAATTCTTAGGGAAGGCACTATAATATTCCTAGGTTTGGATGCTATCTAGTATGTTCAAGGAGGTGTTTCTGTCTGAATGTTACTAAGAACTGTCCAGAAACATAAATATCATTATGGTTATTTCCTTAAAGGACTTCAAAGCTTAATGTCATTTATAAATTTAACAAGCCAGTTTTTCTACCTGCCAATTCTATGAACTCACCCTGGACTTTAAAAACCTAGAAATAACCCTTCAGTTTCTAAATACTTATTTTTGTCTGGCAAGGCAAATTTTATGAGTGGAAGCAATTTCCTATGCTTGCTGAAATAGGGAGCACAACTAGTCACTTTGTCCAAAGAATGGCTTGGGAAACACACTCCTTTTCCTTGTCAATGGCCACAGACTAAAGGATCTGCAGAAAACGTTGCACTGGAACCGTGCAGGCAGTCATGCAGAAGTACTTGATAAACCGGCTCCACAGGGACTGGCATATGCTTATCTTCATGCGGTACGCTGAAGTAAATTAGAGATGACATGCATTCCTTCACCGTGAAAAGAGATAAAAATCTGAAATATCCCATCCCTGCGCAATCCCTACTTTTCCACGTTTCTTTCTATTTCAAACCAGTACAAAGGCAAAGATGTTGTCAGCTCTATTAAGGAACAGATTGAAGCTAAGAAGAACATTTACTTTCTATAACACCTAAAAGCACATTTGTTAACATAAAGTCACTTCTAAACACAGAGAACTGAAAAGTTCCACCTTGACTAATGAAAGAGATGTACGTTTTGTTTGTTTGGTTGGTTTTCCCCCCAAAATCAGCATGTTCTCAAGTGGGAAAAAAATAGCATTTTCTGAGAACTTTTTTCTGCCTTTTCGGTACAGAAGAGTGTTACAGTTACCTTGAATGCCTGAGGAATACTAAACTGGCCAGAGCAGAGTATAATCCTGCCCTATGCATTTCAAAGAACGAGTCATAGGATAAAAAAATTGTAGATGCTGTTATTCTGATCAGGAAAATAGTACCAGAAGAGTCAGAACCTGGTGTCCATTGACGATTTTTCCAAGTAACATCCAGGTGCTTGTTTGGCTATGGCTGAGACAATATGGAAAATAAAAAGGAAAAAAAAAAAAAAAAAGCTTGATCTCTTTTAGATGTGGAATTTTCCATAGGGTTGATGATGCTTCCACCTCTGTATTGGCAAGATCCTGAAAGATAGTACCAAGAGCCCATCCTCCCCGCCCACTGGCTGAGTCGGAGATTAACAGGGAAGCTGCAAGATCCCTCTGACCCAATGCACTGGCTGTTTGAAGCAGGACCTTGCCGCGAATGCAAATGCCAGAAGCCTAATATCATGCTTTAAAAAACAGGCTGTATTAATGTGAAGCAAAGGACTCACTACTCGGAGCTCAAATCTTTTATTTGTATGCTAGTGGTGCCTCAGAATCAGAGCCTGGCAGCAGTTCCCCCAAAGCCCCAGTGAACTCTAGCCCCATAGGACAGAGCTGAGGTGACGATTAGGCAAGTGCACGAAAGCATTAACCTGCAAGAAGGAAGAACTGGTTCTTATCTATAATGGGAACACCTTTATGGTGCTTTAACAATGGAGGCAGAGCTCTGCCTTCCCAGCAACTGGTAGCAGTGTTGCGTTTAAAGGGCTCGGGGTATGAGATTAAGCCAAAACTATTGCAATGAAAATGTTCTCAGCCTATGCCGAGTATGTGAGGGTTGTCACAGCCCTTGTGAGCTGTAGTGGAACAAAGGAACCAGACAGATCTGGACATCTAAGAAATCCCTTGATTTCCTGCAGGCATTGATAAGCTTTCCAAGCTGGTACAACAGCTCTGCTACCTTCCGCTTTCTCCCCACAGGTTCATGCAGCACAGCCAGCTGGTGATGGCAGGTACCTTGGTATTTAGACAGAGACTTTGTACAGCCCCTCAGGAAAGCTGTGAATTTCAAACCAGGGAGGTGCAGTGGTGGTATTAAAAGATATTTGGGTCTTAATGCCACTGGTAGTGGCGTGATTAAAATTAGTGCTTCCTGATTTACGGCAAGCCATTTTTGGAACACTAATCTTACTAAAGGATGAGAAGAAATAGCAAACTTGTTTAAAAAAAAAAAAAAAAAAAAAAAACACAACAATTTAAATATGCATATTCACCTTTTTCTGTTAGGGGCCAATTCCTTCTGAAAGCAGAGCTTGCACTGACATCACTAGGAGTGTCATGAACCCAGTACTGGGCCCTAGGGCTTGTCCAGTTTCCTTAGCTGTTAAATAAAAAACTGACTTAATCCATAAATCTAACATCAGCCTCTAGTAAGTCAGTATGCCACAATAAATGATCAAGACTAATAAAAAAGGCCAACCCCTTTTAACAATGTGGAAAACAAACCCTTGTCTCAATTTTTCTTCTTACTCCGAAATCCCTCTTGCTCCTTGGTGTGCTGAGCAGTCCTAATCCTTTAAGAAGTGCGTGGGAGGACATGGGCTGGGACTTGCTCTTTTTCCTCTTACTCTCCCTTCCCCCAGTCTCCAGCACAAAAACCGCCTGGGATCCCCGCCAGCAACCGCCAGCAAACTGGAACTGCCGTGCAGGCTTTACATGAATTCCAGGGAGTACAAAGTCCTTATTCTTGAACTACTGGCACAACATGGCTACTGCCTTTGCTAGATTCCCTATCCAGTTAATTCTTTGCAGATTTGTATAAAGCCTGTCACTGCTCTATTTCAGTGCCTCAAAAGAGATGCTATAAATAATAACAACACAGCACTCTGAGCCCTGGGGTTTTGTTTCTCCCACCCTACTTTTCCAGCCTCCCAGGCAGGATAACAGGACTAGCTTGTCCTCCCCCTTTTCTTCTGTCATGTTGTCTTCTCTTCTTCGTTGAATTTTCAGGAAAGGTGGACCTACCTGTGCTGAAGATATTAATTGCACTTTCTTCCCCCACCCCCAAGAACTGAAAGTTTAGTATTGCCCTACCCCACCCCTTCTTTCAGAACTTATCTGTTCTAATACACTTTACCCTTCAAAAGGTCTCAAGCAATTACGTAGAGCTCTCATCTATTCGTTTGTTGACATTTCAGTTCTCCAAGTTACTTGAATACAGTGAATGCTGAATTTAACACTGCATTCTAGAGAAGTCAGTAGGAGTCAGTGAGGTGGAAAGATGAAGCAGCTTAAACTATCAGATTTGTAGAATACATAGCAGGGATAATCGTGGTTGGAAGCAGGTTTTTTATTTGTTGACCTCCTTGCACTTATGACTATACTCAGTTATTTTTATAAGATACAAGTTTATAAGATACAAGTTTTCAAATTGGGATACTTTTACTCATACCTATAGATATGACTATACTACTTATTTTGTATGACTACTTAACAGCTTGTGATGCTTCTAGTGCAAAGATTTCTCTCGAAAAAATTATATTTCTCAAAAATCACGTCATGCCTTGGGAAAGATGGATCTTTAAAAGTTGCCAATAACATAAGTATTAATTTCCACCTGTCTTTGGTCCAAATTATGACTAAACTTTTCTTTCAGCCTTTCCAGACTGTTTACATCTTTCTCACCATGTGATCACTACTGACGATGTGCCCATGCTGCTGCTGGCATGCCTCAAAAACCGAAACGAAACCCCAAATGCACCCAAAACCTCACTCCTTTAAATTTTTCCCTAATAACAAAACTCTATCTGGCAGTAGTGGAGGTGTTCTGCTAGCACAGACCTTGCATCCTGTTCCTCACCACTACATTAATGACCCAATACAGATGTAACAGCTATGATTATTTATTGTCTTCAACAGAACTAAGCTTTAAATCAAGACTTTCTTAAAAAAAAAAAAAAAAAAAAAAAAAAGAGAGACATTTGTAACAATGAAGCAGAAAGGAGATGATCTTTATCTCTGCATTTTGAGCCCTGCAGTATTTCCTTCTCTTCAGCTAACTGGTTTTTCACTGCGCCTGAGCACAGGAAGCTGCTGTTTACTCACTGCTGCATACAGGCAAATTCTCTGCCAGCAAAAACTCAATTTTTGAGTCATTGTGTGCTTTATATTGCCACTGTCTGGCTTTTTGCACGTCTGAGTACTAAAAGCAAACGCTGACATTTGTATAGTCCCTTCTACCTTTGACAAGTGTTCAGAGTGAACTTATAGTCGCAAAGAACATAAATATTGAAATGGCACAAACAGAAATTTGTAAAATTGTTTCTATGTCACACTTATGAAAAAAGACTAGGAGAGAAAGAGAAAATTGTTAATCCACTAAACTGGCTGAGCAAGCAAAACATTTGCAGGGGTATTCCTTGGGGGAGATGACGACAGGACGACAACAGAAATCAAACTAAAATCATCTGTTTCCATTTACTCACTTCAGCCCCCAAGTTCTTTAGAGTTCTAGCAGCATGCTTATAATAAACTCTGACTTCATCCACTCTGGCAAAAAACACAGTCGTTAATACAATTCAAAGCCCTGAAATCTCTGCA